AAAGGAGGCAGAAAGGGACTAGTTAATTAAAGGTGAAGACACAGAATGGGATCGCTGCCTATATGTTATTTTTTGGTTTTAAATAACTTCGACAATCAATTGGTCTTTTTTAAGGAGAAACCACACAATCCAGCTTCTGAATACATGGATATATCGGAATTAAGATTAGTGATTCAAAGAGAGTTTAAGTGCAAATTTAGAGACTCAGTGTTGACGAGGAAGTTAGGTACTCACTGTTTTGCATTAGCTTTGTTTATAGAGAAGAAAAACATTTCTTGTAGTTTTTGGAAGAAATCAATTTTGGGCTGTAAATGAAAATCGTTACCTGAGTAATTGTGAGAATTTTTGAGATCTCGGCCTATATGCTATTTTTTGGTTTTAAATAACTTTGACAATCAGTTGGTCTTTATTAAGGAGGAACCACATAACCGCATGACATTCAAATAGTCGAATGCTCTACCACTGGGGTGTGCGATAGACTTACCTTCACGTGGTACAGCCTGGACAACGTATATTCATACGGCGAAAAAGTCTATTACTCGGCATTTGGGGCTAATGATAAATATCACAAAGCCTGCCATTTGAAATAATAATAATAGTCAATTAGTCTTTATTTAGAAATAAAGTGTTCAATGATATCACGCCATCATTTATTGCCAAATACTCATTTTTATGCCCGCTTGCTTGGCTTTAATTTGGTTGAAAAAATTAACTATTAGAGGCTAAAAACTGCACACGCTTCTGCCATACGGAATCGACTGTTAAATATGTTAGAGGAGCAACAAATATCATCGTTCTCTATTGTGAAAGAGGGTTAGTTGGTCTGAAAAAGAATGAAAGGATCAGCAGTCATACGACCACTGGAAGCGTAACTCATAAAAAGGCGAATTAAAAACCTCACGCTAATGGCAGATTGAAATGGGAACAAGACTCAAACAGAATTGAATCGCATGAGGAATGCAACTGAAATGAATGGGACACGCGGACTTGACAGTAGTCTACCTAAGTTGAGGAAAATAAAATTTAGGCTTAAAGACAAGATTTTAATGATTGCCATGGCTTGCTAGTATTTTCAAGCCAATTATTAAGCTTAAGTCTACATAACTTAGTAATAATAATAAATAATGCAATGTATGCTATGTATTATTGCTAAAAAACATCTATTTGGGCTACAGGCCTATTCTTGCCTTCTTCATTGAGTCCGAATGGTGATACCTTAATGAAGGGCAACTAAGAGTCATAGAAATGGGAAATCGCACCAACGTCTGCCTCAAATCTAATAAAATTTCGTTGAGCATGCCTAAAAGTGATCTTGATTGAACTAATTGGACACTAATTTTACTCCATTTTTTAATAAATGTACTCTCTTTAGTCTGTCCCTTTTGTATCCATGTATATTAATGCAACAAATCTCTTCTAATTCGGTGGAATCTCTTATTATCGCTCAAATACTCCATAAGACCATCTTCTCTCTTGCAATTATCTCCATCAGAAATCGATTATCGATTTGCAATGGAAAGTGCAAGCAAGCATTCGCTCTTCAAGTCAGCGCGGTTTTATGAAGACTTTTAATTATTGTAGCAATAAATCAACATTGTATACTATGAAGAAAGCACCGTTTCCTAGCAGCTGCTACTTTTGATACCTCCCTGTCTCTTAGTGTCATAGCAACCATTTTAATATCTATGGTTTCTCATCCTCAACATGTTCAAGTAATTTCGATTATATGGTTTTAAAAGTGCTATTTTACATTTAATTGAGACCTTACTCTACTCACCATAGCAACAAATTGCATTCAAATTAGTTTGAACCGAATTCTTGTTGCCATGTTGAGAGCATGGAGACATGAAAAGTAAACGGTCTTTTGTGTTTAGAATCATTTAATGTTCCCCGTTGGTGAGTCCTATTAGGCGCCAAGGAAAACTGTGAAGATTATGTAGCCCTTTCTCATATACCTTGTAAGTTAATTTTCACTAAAGTTTAAAGTAATCTGGAACTTTACGTACTTTGAATATCTTGCCGTAATTTGACTAAAGTTGTAAGTAAAAAAGTTGTTCATACTGTGAAGTGCTTACATATAATACACGCGCACCCTTATTTTTATTAAATCTGTAGCGGATTGCCACACTAGTAAAGCCTGACTGACTCAGAAATCTCTATGGCAGATTCCCTAAGTAAAGCCTGACTGACTTAGAAATCTCTATGGCAGATTCTCCTGACTCAGAAATCTCTTTGGCAGATTCTCCTACATCTAGACCGACTCAGAAATCTCCATGGCAGATTCTCAAACATCTAGCTACCGGCTCAGAAATTTCTATGGCAGATTCTCCAACATCTAGCTAGGAATCAGAAATCTCTATGGCAGATTCTCCAACCTCTAGCTAGAGAACAGCTAAGCTATAGCTCAGCTATAAAGAAAACAGACGTGTAGCACGGAGCGCGTTTATATCTGTGGCAGATTCTCCTACATCTAGCTAGACTCCCAGAACGGCAGATTCTCCAACGTCTAGCTAGACTCCCAGAACCAGGGAGATTCTCCTACATCTAGCTAGACTCCCAGAACCAGCTAAACCATAGCCCAGCTATAAAGGAAACAGACGAGTAGCACGGAGAATTCTCCAACATCTAGCTAGACTCCCAGAACAAGCTAAGCTATAGTCCAGCTACAGAGGATACAGACGTGTAGCACGGAACATTTATTCAGTAGTAGCGAAACAGATGTGTAACACGGAGCACGTTTATACAGTTAGTATATCGCGGTTAAAGTGTACACGCAAGAAGCTTAATCATGATCAGGATGGCGGATTAGGTTAAACAAACAGAGGTTAATGATTGGTCACAGTTTGTACGGTCGCACCTCCCAATCATGGCGTGCAGGCATGCGATGACGTGTCCCACAAATCAGCACAAGGATTTGAAAATTTGAAAATTTCCTTCTATCTACAATACCAAAATTTGTACGCTATTAAATATTAATACTTTACAAATGTGTGATTTAGAAATTTAATTTATGTTGCAATAAATTAATAATATATACAATAAAGGTAGCACTTTGTCCTAGCAGCTGCCACTTTTGATACTTTCCCGGTCACCTAGTGCCATAGCAACCATTTTAATATCTATGATTTCTCTTCCTTGCTATGTTCAACTTAAAGGTGATATTTTACATGTATTTGAGATCTGATTCCACTTACCATAGCAACAGATTCTATTCAAACTGATTTGAAAAGCATTCTAGTTGCCATGTTGAGAGCATGGAGGGATGGAAAGAGAACGGTCTTTTGTGTTTAGTATCAGTTAACACTCGCTGTTGGTGAGTCTTATTAGACGCCGAGGAAAATTGTGAAGATTATGCAGCCCTTTCTCATATACTTTGTAAGTTAATTTTCACTAACTTTTAAAGTAATCTGGAACTTTCCTTACTTCAAATATCTTGTCGTAGTTTGACAAAAGTTGCGAATAAAATAGACGTTAAAAGCGTTGAAAATACTGCGAAGTGCTTACATATAATACAAGCTTGTTTCTTGAATTTTGACAGTAATTAATTATTTCGTTTTTCGTTTTTTGTAAATTTTCAGTTTGTAGCAACTATTTCTCCCAATTAATTTAAATAGAAATATTTCAGAATACAATGGTTGGTCTTTTAAAATTCGACAAATTACATGAATGCATTAAAATTGACCAGGAGGCTTATGTACTTCATGCATAAAATGATTTTGCTACTTAAGGAATAAGGAAAATTAATTTTCTAGTTACAATTTATACAGAATGTGAGATTAGAAGGGCTTCAGTGGTAAACTCAATCCAAGCACGATTAAACAGTGTACCTAAACATTCTGGAGAGTGCAACCGTGTGTGTGCGGTTGGACTTCTCAGCTAATCAACTATTAATATTCACTCCATCCATATATTAAATTCATTAAATTACTCATCTTATTTGCTGTGCGTATAAGTTCAATAAACTCTATACTCACTAAAAGGCTGTTTCCTCTTTATCGTTGATGTAATTATGCGTGTTAAGGGAACATTTCTCAATCAGGCTATCTTGCCATACGGATTACTCTGGACGAGACATGACTTTTTCACGTAGCCATCTGCAACACATCTTTATCTAGGGCATTAATTTGATGTGCTGATTTTGTAAATTACATGTTTTTTGATATAGGAAAATTATAACAGTACAAAATTCTCTATTTTCACCTCGAAACATAACTTGGAAATAATTTTCCATAAAAGAAGTGCCTAAATGTGCATTTATCAACCACACGAAATCAAAACTAATGCAAATTTAACGCATCTGTTTTGGCTTTAGGTATTCTTCACGTTTCAATATTTAAGTTACCAGTCCACTGTGACTGACGTGTGTGATAATGAGAGAATTTTCCAAGCATACCACTACTGCTCTTATGCATCGCACTACGGAGTAAGTTCAGTAATTCCTACTTATTATTTGTTAGTACAAATTATTAATTTTTGTTACCTTTCCCAGTTGGATGTTGAGTCATGCAATCTGCAATGTAGGAAGTTGTCCTACGATTGTTCAGCTTTGATAGACACCGTTATTTGCATGTGTGGTGATATTCCAACGGATATGGTGGGAAACTCATACACTTGTCCCATATCCCCGATTGAAATTCGGTGTAGACCTGGAAAGGGAGTCACTGCTGTGATTGACGTAAGTCATTGTACGAATTTTCTAACGATTTCTTATGTCTAATGCTATTTTTCTTTTCTCTAACTAAACGATTATTTATTGCTTATGCCCATATAAGGGTAAAGGTATCATGAATTAACCAAAGGTAAATATCTAAATTAGAAAAGTAGTGAACCAAACCCTTTAAAAAGTTAAAGTGTGTGATAAAGTGACATTGAATTCAATATTTAACAAATCCCACTGTATTGAGTTTCTGCAAATTCTAATCTGTCCACTCTTCACAGAGGATTTTGCTTACTTTATCAAGTTCTCTTGTTCAAAAGTTTATACCATCGGATTTGATATCACACTTCTTGCTTGATCTCATGCTAATGAACTCAGAAACGAATTAAATATTGAACAGCCTTGACACGTTCCTCTCTTCTAGCCATTAAAAGTCAAGGAAAATTTCAGGTTGGAGTTTATTTGACAAGAGGCAATCATGCTAAGTTATCGCCTTTGGGTGTAGATATGAGGTTTAAGCAATGACCTCGTTATTATGCATTATATCATTACTTTGTTTATATTCATTTGAAAGCAAAGAAACTAATAGTGTTTTATCATTTGCCTACCAATTTGGAAGACAAAGACAAAAGTTACTAGCTCAAATCTATGGAAGTTTGGGAGGGAGAGGAGAGGTTGAGATGAACAGTAACTGCCAAATTGTAACGCCTTCTCGAAAATGAAGTGGAGTGCTTTCACATTTAAATACAGCAAAGAAAGAAGTTTGATTGAAAATGGTATAAGTCTTTTCTGTTCAAATGATGAGGAGTTTACGCACGGTCGCTCATTTCAAAAATTATTGATCAAGAAGCGATTAAATGCAGTACTTTGGAGAACCATATATTCCGTAATGCAGTTCAAATGTCCATTGAACTAGCAACACGACTCTATAAAGCACCGAGTGTTTGCGTATTCTACCTACTACTTTAGGTTAAACTGACTTGCAATAGGAAATCCTATTATCCAACTGGAATTACTAACTGTTCTTCCACAACATCCACTAAAGAGTTTACGATAGTTTTTTCAAACTTAGGGTCTCAATTATAGGCATAACCTAGGCAGATATAATCATAAGGGCAAATATAAGCATTGTTTTTAACAGTTGCTCTTTTTATCTTTGAAGGCAACTCTGGGGACTTTGATCCCAACTTTGGTAGGTGGTGCACAACGAATAAACTTGGGATATCAAGTGGTGCCCACCGAAGTGACAAATCGCCTAAATGACATGACTCTAACCATGAAAATACTACCAGAATCTCTATTGGAAACTCTTGGAAAACCTCCCCCATCTGAAATCAATTTCATCTCGTCCGTTCCACAGTCACGAGATATCCAATTCAGTCTCAATTATGAAAATACTAAGGTAAGAAATAATTTATTTTGCCTGATCAACTGAAAACCGATAATATAGACGCATCTTTTAACTAATCATACCATGGAGCAATATTTGAATGGATAGGTGAAGGAAGATTAATCCAAATAAATTGAATCATTTAAATGTTGGTCTGTGGCTCCGCAGGTAGGAGATTTCTATGCGTATTGAGGAGCAACAAGCGCAAATATTGATCTCAGCCTTAAGAGACTGGTTATATGTTTATCGGTTTCGATGAGTAGAAAATCAATAATCAATAATTGAGTTTACGCAGAAAATCTACAGTGTACTGCAATTAAAAGAAGCTTATTATAAACCAATTCATTCTTTTCCATTTTCTGTCCTACACAATAACCCTTTCTAAGTTTCTAGTTCACCGCAGAACAATTCGAAGCATTTTAATTTACAAGGCTGGTCAATGTTGATAAAGATGAAATTTAATTACATTTTACGTTTGACAACGAAGTCTAAGAAAATTACTTTTTGAGCTTAAATATGGGCATGTTTCAATTGTTCTTCCCATTGATTAAAATAAACATTTTTTGATTAGAGTTTGTTAGCTTAAAAATAAATATGTTTTTCTATGTGCAGGTTGCTATGAATTCCTACAAAGTGGAATTCAATAGAACAATCTCAATTGAGAGATTGAGTTTCGCCTGTCCAGAAAATGTTCGGAAGAATGAATACTTCAATTGTCACCTCATTGCTGAAAGTGTTGGTGGATTCGACGGAAAGGTGACGTGGGGAAATCAGCTGAGCCCAGACTTCCATTTTCCAAGTAAGTTAGTAGAGTGAAATCCCTTGAAGTAATTAATCCATTCAAAACCCTAGTGAAGACATAACATCGAGCTGAAGTAATTATTTTTGGGTACTAATTTAGGTAAAATCATGGATTACATCGGAACTGAAAATGTCTACTCTGGGAGTAACTTGCCTCATTGCAGTGAAAGTGGTCTAATTATCACAGGAACCCAAGCCATGTATGCAGGAGACGTACAGGAGATATTTCTTCATCTCAAGGCCAAAACGGCACTGAAAATTTTCGTAAGTCATTTGATTAATCAATACGGTTGTAGTGTCTGTTCTAATTCTGTGCGTTACTGGGGAATAATATGAAAAGTTTGCCAAATTGAATCTGGCCACTTTTAGTTATGCGAAACCAGTTAATAATGAAGCTAGCAGCCTAAGACTGTAAGGAGGAAACGAATTTTCTTCAGCCGCATTAAGTGTGATGCATATCTACGTTTCAATATTCCAACAATAAATTGCTATTTTAATTCTAGATCCTACGTGCAGCCTGTGATAGTGGGAAAGTCTATGACTACTTAACTGATGCCTGCCAGATGGCACCATTCGATGGCACCCCATGCGCTCCAAACGAAGTTTACACACCGATATACCGCGTCTGCTTCAGCTCTACTCAAAATGTCACCAAAAGAAATATTAAGCAGGATGCTCCAAATACCGACACTACGATTCCTTACATGATCGTTAAGGTTAGAGCATGTGACCACGTTTTCGTTGATTGGGACTTATAAATATGCTATTAGAGAACTAGCCAATAAGAAGAGAGAAGATAAAAGTGAAGCAGAAGTAGGTCTCATAGTAGAGAAATCGAAAATATTTGTTTAAATTGTATTTTCACCAAGTCGTTGGATGTATCAGCTCCTAGTCTTTCGAATTAATATTTTCCAAATTTGACCTCTTGAGTTTTGGGTTAATTTTTATTGGTGCAAAATGTTAAAACCAATCGTTATAACTCAGATTTAAAGTAAAGACACCCAAAGCTTGAAGCTTTTTACTGATCTAAATTTCTACTTAGAAAACCTAAAATGATCAGGAAAATGATACCGAATGCATGCACTTTTTAGAAACACGATTTAAGGAGAAGATTGAGTTGCTCCGATTTGGCTGTATTAAGTGGCTGACAATGTCATTTCAACAAAAATGTAACCTTTCCAAAAGTTGATACCGAACTAGATTGTTTTAAAAATAGACGCTCACTTGCTCAGGCATATTTTTTGACCTTGTTACTCTCACTGCGGCAGGTGCTGCCGGTGGATGCAAGCGAGTCTGGACTACAGAGTTTCGTGCTTCAGAAGCCATTCAGGGTAGAAGTCGGAGATCGAATTGCCCTACTGACGGATAAGGAAGATGCAATTGCTTGTACAGCATCGTCTTCAACTTCACCTGCTGATCTTGTCTACAATATTCAACCAGGCATTGGTCTAATTGAAGGCACGAAAATAAGTGGGTTCACACGATTGAGGCAAAAGCGATTTAAGGTAAGACCATAACTAACTTTAGTGTTTAGAAACTGATGGTAAGACGAGCTACTTTTGATCTGTGGCTGATTTCTCTAAAGGATCAAGTTGTACCAATTCTCACTGTCCTATCCATAAAACCTGCTACGAAACGATCTCTTGTAATGCTCTTCAGCTTAGTTATCCACCTTTTTCCTGAAATAATATTTGTAAAATTCTTAGAAGAAAACAGATTAACAATTTTCTTTCAATCAAAGTATGCTATTAATTTAATTACTATCCCCACCCTCCTTATTCACCTATAACTTCAAACTTCTTAGACAATGATGTCGAAATGTATTTTCTGGAATGGTTAAGTTAATTGTCTCAAAGCGAACTCTAAAATGAAGGGATTGTCTATTTAATAACTATCGTAGTTAAGATGTTCCATCAATTGAGTATCTCTGAGGATCCAAAATGCAGCCCTTCTGCTAGATTGGAGAATTTTTTTTCTCAATTTTATTTGATGTCGATGCACTAATTAATCAAGATTCTACTTTATTTCAACTGTTCTTATTCCTTTCCAGTAAAACAAGAGTAAAGCAGCAGGTCCTTAAAGTCTCGTTTTTTGGCAAAAAAGGTAATAGTAATCTTCATAAGAGAATATAACTAGCTCTTTATAAAAAATATTACTTACAAATATTGTCTCACATATGCACCATAACTGGAATATAAAGGTCTGTTTGTCACACTTCAATCTTACACTTACAAGCCTTCCCTAAGCTCAATGATCTTAACAACTTGGAAAGATTCCCAGAGCTAACTAAGCTACCATAAAGCTATAGAGAAAACAGATGTTTTATGTGGAAAACTTTTATTTGTGATGCGTGAGTAGGGGTATGTGCAGACAAGGAGATTAGTCATTATATTAATATGGCGGATTCGATCAACCATGCGAGGACTAATGATTGGCGATTGACTGCATGTTCTCTGCACTCACAAACACACCTTTTTGGAAAGTTTAAACTTTTTAAACTTAAAAACGTCTTATTTAGTCTGTGTTTTCTTCAAAGTATTCAATGGCTTAGAAATTTTGTAGATATCCGCTGCTATAGCGACACTTCAAAATTCAATGGTCTTTGAGGGTCGTTTGGAGACTGCCGGTGCAAAGAAGGTAGTAGCTACAATCAACGTTGATCCGCATGCTGAAGTACCCCTACTCAAGGACTTAACTTGCACTGTCAACGTCGTTGCTCCACTTGTTACACCGAATCTCACAAGGAGTCTTTTCGATCGGAGCAAGAGTGAACTTCTTCTACTCACTCTTGATCAAGGTCAATTTAAGCTAAAGAAAATACTTTCCTTATTAATATAAACTGCATCTTTACCACAGATACTTAATTTCAGAAAGGTCACTTTTAGCTTGAAAACAATTTGAATACAGATCTATTGAGTTATATAACAATTAATTTGACGGTGGGAGGAACTTCGAAAATACTTGCAGGTGGATTTTCGCAAGAGGACAAATTATGAAATTTGAATTGACCTGATCATGAAGTAAGAAAGAACTCACCATTCCTAGTTCCTTTAAAATTAATAAAGTATGAAGTGTGAAAGTTAGGCAGTCATCATTTATATACTAATTGACAGGTTTTATGATAGTTATCATTAGACCTTTAGATGACTTCGAACTTCACAGATGGAAGGAATATCAAAATGAAAAAAAATCGTGAGGTAGGGGAATTGAAGAATGATTCATAGATGTATATGTGACAAATGTGGTGTAAAAGTAAAAGTTGCCACAAAGGTAGAGAGAAAGGCAAGGTGAGGTGAGTACTGTGAAATTGGTCAAATATGACATACATTGGGGTCATGGTAGTTTAAATTCAGAAGTCGACTGTCAGTTTATTGACTTTATGTGCCATAAGTATAGGTTACCCAGGGTGCACCACATGGAGTAAATCTATCACACACCCATTAGGTACTCAAAAAATGTCAATAAAAATAACCTCAATGAAAATGCCTAGTGGCAGAAATTCTCTAAACGCAATAGCTTAAATTCATATTCTAAGACCATTTAGCAGTGAGCATTCACCAAAACCACATATCAACTTTTTGCAAGTGAAGGTTGGTTGAAGTAACGCAATATGCCAGTGTTGCACATATAAGTAAGGTTATGATAATGGGAAAATCTGACTAAGTTGAACCTAAATGTCAATATTCCATTTAAAATCGAGTGTTGTTTGGTCAATTTTTTTCCATTTACCAAAATTTAATTCTTGAAGCTGAATTTTAATATAAATTAATTTTTTAGAGAAATGAGCAGTTAACAAACTGTTTGGAATGGTGACATTAAGAATACGTACATGTAATAAGAGCAAATACTTGAAATAACTTAACTTTGATCAATATTTTAGATGTGAATTTATAAAAAATGCTTCTACTAATATGGTATTAATTAGTAAATAGGAATTCGAAATACCAGGAATATTCTGAATGCTCTAATGACCTTGTTTTTCTTCCACAGAGAGTGAAGTTACTTACATCTGGGAATTTGGAGATGGATCGCAGGCAAAAACTTCCAGCGAAGCTAGAATTAGTCATATGTTTCAAAGAGTTGGGCAATTAACTCTTACAGTAACGATCACGACCGCCTTTGAGGTTGCTTCTCATCAATACTTAATCGAGACCTACGAAGCAGTGTCTCTGGGTGACTTGAGAGTCGAAACCTCCTCTCCATTGTCATCCAAAGCACCTATCGATGTTGTAGTCGATGTGGTAGGCGGTTCAAATGTAACCTATGCCTGGTTCGTCAATCAGAGTAAGGCGTTTGTTACCCAGATTCCGGCAGCCAGTATCACGTTTGATCATGCAGGCAGCTACCATGTGAGCGTGACAGCAAGCAACGCCTTCAGTAGTGCGGAAGCAACGACGACAGTCCACATTGTTGCCACACTCTCAGGTAACTTACTTATATTCCTCCTTACTTCATCAGTTCACTATGTGGAAATAAAACCTTTATTTAGAGGATAATTCATGTCACACCACACATAGATTAGAAGACACACTGGATTAATAAATATGTAGCAGTTTAATGCACCATCATACTGAGCAAATTAACCACCTCAATTTCGGAATGCTCAACTAGAGTATTTTCTTAGTGAGGAGATCTGTTGTGTGGGTAGAAAACCATAGAAGTTAAATCTTAACAAGATTGCAGGCAGTAGACTGTAAATTTTGCACTTGATAAAAGTTCCGATTTCCTTGTCAGAGAAAGTATATTGATGGTTCAGAAAATGAGTAAATCTAGTACTGACAGAAAGGAATTTATATTTTCTTTGTGTAATAGTTAATTTACGAAAGAGACAACAAATCATGAGACGTTACTCTAGAGATCAACAAAGTCGTCTTAAGGTTAGATCAGCTTACTATCAACTCCAGGTCAACCCAATTTTTGCTTATCTTATCTTCAGATTTAAATGATATTATCTTATCTTTTAAGATCATGTTTAGCATATCTGATCGGAAGTGTTTATAGAGGCAGCGAAACTCAAATAATTGATAAAAGAGATTATCCCCATATAGTATTTGAGTATACTTTGAGTATAATCGTTTTCTTGTATGCAAAGTTTTCCCTAATTTTGACCCCTAAAGCCCCAAAGACCAATTTATGAAAATTAGACATATTAAACACTTCTCAAAGGTCAAATTCAAATACTCTGGGTTTAAATTAATAATGCAAGTTTAAACAAAAACAACCATCACCGTTTTCCCTTGGCAATTTTATTCCCTTGGTGATTAGGGTTTATTTGTTTAAAACAAAAGTTAAAACTTTTTGTTTATTTTTATATTTATTTTAAATGCGTTGCACTTGATTTTCTCGTGCGTCATCTCTTCAGGTTTGGATCTCAAATATGACAGTATCGCCGTTGAAACGAAATCAGTTTTAACCTTCATTTACACTGATGGAATTCCCACTAGCGGTGAAATATCAGTGGATTCTGGTGAATGGAGACCTGTGAAACTAAACCTTGCTGAAAGGGTGTTTTACTCCGAACCTATGATTTTCCAAGCTATTGGACAGCATAAAGTCTCCATTGAATTGTGTAGTGAACGAGGCTCCATGCAAAGGATATTTGATTTCTGGGTGGAAAAAGTACCTATTCATTACTCTATTGAATCAAATGAAAAGTAATAGACAAGGAACAAATGGGAAAGATTGTGGACTAGGGTCATTTCATCACAAATTATTTTATATATTTCAGAAAAATACCTGTAAATACTCCAATAACTCTGACATCTCGAATTCAAGGTGTTGGCAGTGGAGGTGTGATTGAAGTATTTGATGAATATGGCTATTTCGATACTCGAAATGTTGGTCGTAATGTTTTAATTTCACCCCAATTCACTCACCAACATCCCGGTTTCTCCAATCTCGGTACATATGTGCTCCACGGAAGTTTAACTATTGGTTCTGTCAACTTGTCAAATATTGAAATTATCTATGTCATGCCACCACTTGGTGCCTACCTCCTGCAAGTGAATCAAACTCGTGTTGCTGAAAATGAAGAGCTAATTGCGAAAATAGTTCTTATAAGTGGCCAAGAAAGTCCATGTCTAGACGTATCAATTGACTGGGACGATGGAACTGAGCCAACTACCTTGGCTTACTATCAATTGTATGCACCAATAAAACATACCTACACTAAGGGAGGACAATACTCCATACAAACTGTGGTAGAACAAAATTCAGTGAAAGAAACCCTCCATGATGTCCTTGTTGAAATTGGTCCTGGACTTTCTAATGTGTTTTGCAGTGTCAGTCCAAGTAGTTATATTACTGTCGGAGATTATTTCGAATTGGTAGGTGAATTTTACAGCAGCAGAAGTGTGGAGGTTACTATTGATGAACCGGGAGGTATGGCCCCAACGAAAATTACTGCTTGTAAGTAGATATATCTTCTTTTTTCTTTTTTGTCCCTGTGATATTGGAATTCGTTGTGCTAATATCTTTTCGATATGAAAGATTCAGTGAACAAATATATCAGCACCATTAATTAGAATGAGTAAAGGAGGCAATTTTTTCTAAATGCTTTTGATAAAATAAACATTATGTCTTTTGCATTGCATCAGCTACATCTCCCTGGTCATATGCTCCAAGTCCGAAACCTCAAGGCATATGGACATACACCATCTTTATGACCAACGGTTTTTCCTCGCATAGTTACAATCTGACAGTTGAGATCCAAAATCAAGTCACTGATTTTTCAGCCTACATTGAAGAGGAGAATGTCGGTCCACCAGGTTGGTTTCTAGTGCAATTAATGCATTTTGCTTAAGTAAAACTAGTTGCTCTGACTAACTATGCATGTTAATAATAAAACCCAGCTTCTTCGTCATGGTAACAAATTTTGAATTAACCTAACTCATAATTGTGTTTGAATATCATATAAAAATGTATTTCAACTGTGTTTAAACTATCATAATAGTGACAGGATAACACGCAGTCTCTCATTATATTAAGTCAGCGAATGGGAGATCGCAGATCGATAAGATCGCATGGGTCACCCTAGTAACATTATAGAAACGTAGAGTAGAAATGTCAAAATAAACAATCAAGAAAAATGAAAATTAGTCAGCAACCACGGTCTCTTGACGTGGATGTTCCTTATCTATCTTACTTAACTTAAAGTTGAACAATATTTTCAGATTAATGATGGGTAAGAGGTGCACCCTGGGCAACGTATATTCATACGGCAAAAAAGTCTACAAACCGGCAGATGACTTCTGTCTTTGGGGTGCGTGATAGACTTACCTCCACGTGGTGCACCCTGGGCAACGTATACTCATACGACAAATAAGTCTATTAACTGGCAATTGACTTCTGGCGCAGTACTCATCCTACCTTTTCTCTGCCTTCATGTCTGTCTCTTTACATCTGTAAATCACTCTTCTGTTCCCCACCCCTCGACTTTCTGTTACTTTGATGTTCCTTTCCCCTGTGAAGCCCGAAGTCAGCTAAAGGGCTAATGATAACTATCAAAACGCCTGCCATTTGAAATAAATAAATGATGGGTAAGAGGGTGGGTGCTGATTTGATAAGCATCAAATGTCAAATTCCTGCAAATATATAACTAGCATTAAGGACTTATTTAGGTCCAATCGTCAGAAGTGCTTTAACCATGGACACTTAACACAAACTGCAAGCGATGTCAAGTGAAGATCCAATATTTTCCCAAAGAAAATATTTCATGCCTTAGCTTGATTACTTATTTTTCTTGTCTTTTTTTCAATTTGGCCTTTAAAAGTTTCAGTAGTTGTATTTCTATTGGTTTAGGTGATCTGATTTTGCACGTTATCGATCGAGGAGTGGCTGGTGCGAGGTCGAGTACATATGAAGTTAATGTTAACTGGGCTAACGAGAATATCACAACGGCCTCAATGAATAGCACAGTCAATGATCTTCAACTCAATCATCGAATGTCGAAAGAGGGCAACCTCGCCCTTAATATCAGTGTGAGGAATAGAGCTTCATCTCAGCATATAACATTGCCAGTAAGTGGAAACGATGCCCCGATGACAACTATGCGAAATTAGTTATTTCAATTTTTACTTTTATATATTTTAATCAAAAAATTATATATCAAATGACAGATTTTGTGATAGTAATCATTAGCCTATGAGTTGACTTCGGCCCTCACAGAGGGGTAGAGGAGACATCAAATCCACAAAATGTTGAAAAGAGGAACAGAAGAAG